AAAAATTACTACATGTCAAAGATGTTGGTTTAATAAATGTAACTTTTAAACTAATAATGAATTTAGATAATTTTAATTCAAATAATATTAAAATATGTTTACATTAAACTACTATAAAATACAAAATTAGTAAAAAACAATGCAGTCTATGTTATGCTAATAATTAAAACATTATTACAGTGTGTATCAGTAAAGTTACCACATAAACTTTTTAGTTTTATGATTATAACCATGCTCATCGGTCCATATATCAATCGGATCATCAGAGCTGGGTTTGAGTCCGCCCTCATCGGTGATTATGAACGATCGGTTGGCGGATATCTCGTAGTCATTACAAATGGGACTGACTGTGCCGTCCCTGTTCTGGGCCAATACGGTCAGCAGTAGAGTGTCGGTTGTCCGCCGCTTGTTATGCTCGTCCAAATAGGGTAACCGTACGCTCTCCACAGTGTCCACATGCTTTAGGCTCAGGTCAAAACCTGTGCTGAATGAGCTGCCTCTATTGCTAGTTGTTTGGTGTGAAAATGTACCCAACAGAATTCAGCCTTAGAGTAGGCATTAGTTATATACGTGGTGTTATTGCCGAACCAGTTGTTGATAAAGTCCATGATTGCGTTGGGCATCCTATTAATTTATGGGAATGAGATTGACCCTGATTGTTATATAATTTAATTTTTATTAGTTTTAAATGTTGCGCTTAAATTATTTTATTTACCTTTTACATAAATTATTTATTTAATTACGGTGTATTAATTGTAAATATTATAAACAAATAATTGTTTTAGCAGTAATAATATTTAAACTAGTTTAATCCAATTAATTATTTGTTGACTATTTACAGCGATATTTTTTGTATGTATTATAAATATTGTGTTGGCGTTAATTTTGAGATATGCTGGGTAGTCATAGAAATTATCATGCTGATTTGCTAAATGTTAAACACGATCTAGAACATACTATCTTGAAGTGAGATTTAATTTAAAATAATATTATTATATTTATATATTATATTATATTTGGGCATTTATAATTTGCGGAAACATACAAATAAAAGTTTTAAATTAACATTGTTTACATAATATTAATTAACATTTAATTAAATATAATTTAATTCATAATGTTTAAGGGACTTTATATATATTTTTGTATTACAGTTGTGTGTGTGT